AGGGGATGGGCCAAGAGCTCCCCGTTCCCCAGGGCCGCGCGGCTGCCATGGGTAAACACCCGCCGTATCCAGCTGATCCCGCACTCACTCGGAGTGGAAGGTTTCCTATTCCAGGTTCATTACTGATGGGCTCTGCCAGACAGATTCACTCACAGAAATCTCTCACTGTCCCCCAAAGGGTATGACAGAAAAGGCTTCCCTTATAAAAGAAGATTATCTACAGAGATAACGCTATGTTTATATTTCTTTTCTTTAGCTCATTAATTGTCCCCAGGTGATGTGCAGACCTGCCCTTAGCAGGACTTTCCTCCTACAGAAGTGGATGCTTTTGTTCTGATGCAGAGTATGGCTTAAAAAACATGGGGCATGGTCACTTCTGTTTTCTGTAACTCATTACACCCCCTGAGTTTCTAGCCTCCAATCATCCCCAGGAGGGAACCACACTTCCCCTTAGCAGCTATTCAATTGGCTTAGCTAAAATTTAAATGTGTAGCTTCCTCTTTGGGTGGCCCTGTCTGTGTGTGACGTGCTCGCACACGCACACCTTCAGTCAGCAACTGAGCTTATACCCTGGTCCCTTCCGAGGACAGAGGCTTAGAGGGTGTGTAAGGATGACATGACCGATGGGCTCATTGCCAGAAACGGTCACAGAGAAAGCTTTGTTCTCAAACGATCCTTATGAGGTAGATGAGACCAGCCTAATGGTACTGAGACTCAAATAAACTCCATATTTGTTTTTCTAAAAAGCCATACTTGTTTGTAATATCGTTGTTTACAGCATCCTGTGAAGCACCTTCCTTTGCACTGAGCTGAGAGCCAGGCAAGCTGCTCCTGCCCCAGCTGTGTATGTGCCTGATCCAGGGAGCGTTTATGTGGACATGAGAGAAATTTTTGACACCCTAAAATTTACTGAATATCAGATGCTGTGTGATACTGCTCAATCATCTCGGAGTTCTTCAAGTTAATGTGAAGAATGGGGAAACTACAGATGCTGTGTAGTTCCTTCCCAGCTCACTCAAATGTAGTTAGCTAAGTGACTGAAGGGGACACAGCTGCTGTCTTGCCTTTGCTATCCTGAATGGATGAGAAAAGGGGTTTCTCTTTCCTCTAAACATTTGCAGTAAAACTATTTCTTTCTCAGCTGCTAATGCTGGGATTAGAACTCAAATGTGCTGTGAATTAATTAGTCACATGAAGGCATCAGTGTTCCCAAGGGTTTAGTGTGAATTGTTTTGCTTTCAGGGGTTGCTTTCTTACCTGTCTGGTCTTGTCAAAAGCATCTTTTTTTTTTTTTAAATTTATTTTTCTTTAGTGCTTAGACAAGTGATTGTGTGGAGAGAAGCACGGGAGACACGCAAGAGGCACAAGCATAAAGTAACTTTATCTAGAAATACCCATGTGCATGTGTGTGTTACAGCTAAGAACTCAACCAAATGGAGCCAATCCCTTAGGGAGCAGGAGGACAGAGGTGGGAATGCAAACCTTAGCCTGTTCCTGTGGGAAATGTTTCCTTGAGTACAGGCAATGCCACACACAGAGCAGCTGTGTTTCGTGCATATACACCTTGGGTGTGTTGCAGCAGTGCATGGATTCATCATCTCTCTGATAAGGGCAGGTGCCAGGTGCCTGCAGAGGTTGTATAATTATTGTCCTTGATACTGGTCTAATAGAAGGAGAATAGAAAAGTCAGTCATGAAGCTAAATCCTTTGTGTCCTTACCTAGATGTAGTTTTGAAGAGTGAGAATTCTAGCACCAAAACAGTGTATGATATGGCTCTGAATTAGCTGGAGAAATTCTTCATAAATGTAATCCTCCTGTTTTAGGATTTACCTTCTTTAAAGAACTGTTGGGTGGAAGGATTTCTTGTGAAGATATACGACGGAATCTCAGTAAGAGTCTACAGACTAGTAAGAGTCTGGAAATCAGTCAGGGTTTGTGAGACATTCAGCTGTGACAGTGAGGAGGCCATTGGAGCTAATTCTCCTGTAGCTGTTTGAAACACTGGGGAAACAAGTGTGGAAATGCCTTGTCTGAATTCCTCATTCTAATGTGATAGTTTTCCCAATGTAACCAAATAGCCAGATTACAAGGAACTGTGTAGGAAGGGAGGATGTTAAAATGTACAAAAGCTGTCATGAGGAAAATCCTCTTCAGGCTTATCCTTTGCATTCTGGGACACACTGAATTTACACAAACATTGTGGGAATATAGGATTCTTTTATAACTTGCCAAGGACAGAGAAATGCGCATGTCACCCTGGTGATAGCAGCAGGAGAAAATGGCTGGGGGAGGCAGTGACCTGACCTTGTGTAAAATAAATCCCTTGACTAAGTGTTGTCACTCTTCTCACAGGTGATTGCTCTCGTGATGGATTCCTTCACAGATATTGATATCTTCAGTGACCTGCAGGATGCTTGTAACAACCACAAAGTCCCTGTCTATATCCTCCTCGACCAGGAATTTCTACCCCACTTCTTGGAAATGTGCAACAATTTAGGAGTTTGTCCTGAGCAGGAAAGTGTAAGTACTGAAGGTGGGGGGGGCGTGGTTTGTTTTTATTTTTTTGTGGTACAGTTTATGCATATTAAAGAAACCCTTCTACAAAGCATCAGACTTCCTTGAGAGGCTAAAACACCTTGTCTATTTGATAACTAAAAGGGGATTTTCTGAACTGTTTCTCAGCTCCTGAAAATGAAGGCTCAATATTGCATGTTTTCAGTACAGCCTCTAATCCCATGTGTGAAACTGCTCACAAACTCAGCAAAAACCATGCAGAAAAGGCAGATCTGTCACCCTGTTCTGCCTGTATGTAGGAGTTACCGCCATGTCATGCACCAGCCTGGTGAGCTGGGTGGAGTGTGTGGACTGTGATCCCTGTCCTGAGGATGCAACAATTTTCAAGCATTTAATTTTGCAATATTTAAAGAGTCTTAGTCTTTGGCTCAAGGAACTGCTTGCTAAGGAAAACAGAAACATGGGAAACTCAAGGGTGGTATAGCTCTGGTATGATCTGATCTCTTTCCTAATACCTAGTTGCTGTCTTTTAGAAATGTTTGGATGATGTGCCAGGTGATTTACCTAGTTGCTCTGAATATAGGCTGACATGGCTGTGTTATGGCTTGGCTTGGACAGGTTTATGTTCCCTGCAGTGAGAGTTTCTCTGGACAGGGAAGCACTCCAAGCTTCCCTGGAGAACCGGCTGTTCTCTCTACAGACTCTGCTAATCTAACAAATTTAGCACTGTGTAACTGATAGCACTCACATACAGACTGTATAAGAAATCTAATTCCTATTTTCCATAGTGTGCATAGAATTTTAGGTAGAATTGCTAATCAAACATTTTTGGAAGTTAACTTAAATCTGATGTTACTTTTTTCTTTCTTTTCTGAACCAGCTGATGAGAGTTCGAACTCTCACAGGGAACATTTACTACCTGAGGTCAGGTGCCAAAATTGTTGGGAAAGCCAAGGAGAAGTTCATGTTAATTGATGGCATTAGAGTGACAACAGGCTCATACAGGCAAGTATTGGGGTCTGCTGGTGCACAATGAAGCTGTAGAAAGGGGGATTTGCTACAAGAAGGATTTATCAACTTTGCTGTTTGCCTGGTGTTAATGAGGGCATGTGGACTAGCTGAATCTAACTGGGACTGAGACTAAGGTGAAAACACCTTTGAAAAACTGATTTACACAACTTGTTCTTAACAAAGCACTTGGCTAAATAGAGTTCTTCCTGAAGAAGGAGTGAATAGTCTATCGACTTTGTACCTTCCTTACAGGCAGCATTTCGAAGCTGAGTCTTGCTTTCTGTAACTGTATGTGTTGAAATGAACTGGAGATTAACTGTGAATCTTGGTTTGTTTTCAATAGTTTCACATGGTCTGATGGGAAGCTGAACAGCAGCAACTTGCTGGTGTTGTCAGGCCAAGTGGTTGAACACTTTGACTTGCAATTCAGGATTCTTTATGCCCAGTCGCTGCCCATCAGCCCTAAGGGTCCATCCAGCTGCAGGAACAGTGGGATGTTCAATCACCTGGTGACCAGACCAGAGTCCTCTAAAAAATATACTGTGGAAGGCAACCTGAGAGCAGAATTTGCCAGAATGTCTAGCACTCCAAAGAAATTGTTGGAAGAACTAGATCAGGCTGAAGATAGCCATGGAGGAAAACCTTGTAATCTGGGGCATTCTTGCCTCTGTGAAGAGGAGTCATTCAGCAATCAAGTGACCGTGGCAGAACGGAAAAGCTCATCGACTCAAACTGACCCATGGGACAAGACAGCTGCTGTGAACACCTGTAATGCTGCCACACAGACCAGTGCTGCCATGGCAGAAACTGGCACTCAGGCTTCTGTCACTGCGAGAGCCACGGGCACTCAGACGTCAGTTTTGCTGAAGACTGCAGTGACACAGACAAAGGAAGAGGAAGGCACAGAAACACCCCTACTTCTTAGAAAGTTTGCAAAAGAAGAATATTCTCTGACTGGAAACGCTGTACCAAACTCTAGTCTGCGATCACTGTCTTCATCATCGTCCCAGTGCTCTCTTGGAAGCTCAACAGGCTCACTGTCATCTCTCCGGTCCTTTGAATATTCCAGCAGTCACAGGGCACAATATTTCCAAAAACTGCATAAAGAGAGACAATTCCACTACTCCACTATCAGGTCGAAGCTGAGCCACATGGTGGATATCCTCTCCCGGAGGGGCCGTGTGCCTGAGAGCTACATGACCCAGTACACCGGCAGATGCAACCTAAAGCAGAGGCGGGACATCAGCGCCAGCCTGCGCAACCTCCGGGACGTCTCGCTCTTCTCCCTGAATAAATGATTGCTGCACTGGCCACAGAGCACACAAGCTCCACTCTCAAGCTGCAGTCACTTTGTACCTGCTGATTTTTCCACTTCCGTCCAGCAGTTTTACCTTTTTTAATACACACGTACATCACTCCCCAGCACTTTGGTTTATACTGTGCAATGTAAGTGATAAAAAAAGAGGTATTGTACACTAACTACTTACATGTTCATCTTGTGTGCATTAGCAGTGAAGATCATTTTAATTCCAGATGCTTAGCCTGAAAAATAAACTTGTTACTGCTTTCTAGGATTGCTAATGCTCTGGCTTTAATTTATGTGAACTTGGAAAATCTTGAGTCAGACTGAGCTTGCTCAGAGTGGCTTTGGAGATTTAGCTTTTACATCAAGGTACACTCAAATTTTTTTTTCTTTTTAATATTGGCTTTTATTTCTACTTTATATTTGGCACGAGGGGAAACAACTTTTATAAAGAGCTATAAAGCTAATTTTATTCCAAGTCTGACTTCCACTTACTCTTCCACTAAAGTTGTGAAGGGTCTATTGGAGCAGTTCCATGTTCTTATCTTCAACTATACTCTTTTTTCATTGTTTTAGCCTTCTGAAACAGACTGAGCTAAGTAGCTCTTTGGTTTGATCATCCTCTTGTGCTTTTGTGTAGATACATATATATTTATGCATATTTATACACATCCTCAGACTAGCATCCTTTTAAAATCAAAACCAGGCTAGGAAGTAGCAGGTTAGCGCTCTACTCTGTACCCATTTTAGATACAGTCCTGATGTAATTGTTTCCAGTATTTGGAACTAAAAGCTAGTGATATTGGGCCTGTAGGACTTTTAATGGGAATGTATGGCTGAAGTGTTTTTATGGTTGTGAGTGGGAGATGAAGTATTATCTGGAGCTCAGTGTCTTACTGCAGCATATCTGTTGTACTTCTCTTATGGGATGACTTCAAAGAACTTTGTGTCTTGTGCAACTTGTTACATAGAATTAAGCTTTAATAATTAATTACACTTTTAGTCTTAGCACTGTAAAATGAAATGCTAATTCTGGCTTGGTCTAGGAATGTCTGAACCATCTTACATCTGTTAGGAAACCTGTAAAGAGCTTCCTTCTTTGTAGTGAACTTGGAGGCAAGACAATCATCAAGGGCATGTGACAAAGCCCCTGTTCAAAAGTAAACTGACAAATGCACTACAAAATGTTATCGGTTATGTTCGGTAATATTATTGTAAAAGTAACTTAAGAATGAAAAAAATAAACATTTTTCTCTTTTTAACTGTCCTATCTGAAATACTCTGTGCTTCCTCCTCTGTTTATCCTTTACCCACTACTAGCTTGGTTTGAGGAGATGAAGTGCTGCTCCAGTTTTTGAAAATACTTTCAATATTGAATGGGCCTTAGGTTTAGCTGGTTTGAAGAGATATCATCTGAATATTTGTTTGCAGTTTTCTGTGCATGTCTGTGCTTGCTGGATCACTTACTGAGCAGAGTGTGTCAAATCTCTCTGAGATCTAACCTGTAGTGTTATTCTTTAGACCTGCACCCCTGTACTTCGGTGACCAATCACACTGAACTCTGCCCACTCAATTCAGAGTCTGTGTATTTTCTTATTTATGGCCACGTGTGTCCAGCAGATGGCACATTTCAGCTATTGGCTTGAAAATTCCTGTTAACAGCAATGAATGAGTGAATAAACAGAAAAGTACCCGTAACTCAAAAAGGCTGCAAATGTAGAGAGCAACACTATTCTACTAACTTTGGTATTTCTGTCTGAAATCTCTATAGACAAAGAGGCTTAGATACTTTTATTGCTTGGAATTCAAAGCAGCCACTCCTTCCCTAAAGCTAGAGGGCAGATGTACAAAGATGTGCAGGTGGGAAAAAAATCTCTGTCTGCACTTGTTTGAAACAGTAAGATACTTTATTGCACGATCCTTGGATCTGCAACACTGGGAGCAAAACAAGTTGCAGAGAGGGAGCCAAAATACATCTTCAAAGCCAATCTCGACTTGTATTTTCAAGAACACATGTTCTGCAGTACTTGAATGTATGTGCAATCAGCTTGTTTGTTCCGTGTGCTTCTTAACTTTATTGCACTGTGCAGCTGTTAAGGTAGTCTCACAGAAACAAGGAACTGTTTACAAATAGAGTCCTTTTTGCCGTGGGGTTTTCACTTGATCACTGCTGAGCTTTGTTTTCCGTTTATTTGAGTCTGGGTGACTTCCCCTGTACTTGCTGCTTTCCTTTGGGGACCATCTGCCCTCTCAAACCTTAGGAGCGAGCAGCCTTTTGATCTGGGCTGGGATGAGGGCTGCACTTACTCTCGCTGCTTAATGCTAGCTTTGCTCTTCTGCGGGCGCTTCCCTGGGCGGGGGAAAGGCTGTGGGCTCTGCCCCCCAGGGCTGTCCCGTGGGCGAAGGGCCGGGCGGGAGGCGTGGAGGGGCCTCCGGAGCGCTATAAAGGAGCGGCGGGCGGAGCGGGGCCGCTCGGGCCATGGC